TGAGTTAAAATCTGGCCTCAGATACTTACCACTTATGTGATTGTGGGCAAATAATTTAACCCTGTTTGCCTCAGTTTCTTCATTTGTAAAATGATCTGGAGAAGGAAATAGCAAACCTCTCCAATATCTTTGCCAAGAAAACCCCAAATTGGGTCATGAAGAGCTAGATGCAACTGAAAACCGAGCAACCACTGTCAACGAGATTACATTCTAGCGGAGGAAGACAAATCCTACAGTGAGGCTAGGAGCAGTCCAAAGAGTGATTGAGTTGAGCTAGAAGTAAATAAGCAGCATGACTGGGGCTGCTCAAAAAATGACCAGCAGGGGCTCATCAATCAATGAGCAAGCCTCAGGGCAGAATACTCTTTAGATGGGTGAGGTAGTTGATGGGGAGCTTAGAGTCTGAAGAGTGAATTGAGCTGCAAATGACCTTGGTTGCCATAGGTTCACATCTAATTGCAGGATAACCCTTGGATGAAGGACCGCTGGACTAGGTTCCAAAGGTCATTCATTTAGGTCTCAGTTCTGGACTGGCTGACTGTCACACTTGCATACATTCTATTCCTTGACCTCCTGATGGCTTGCTCTCCGGATCTTTCAGGACTCACAAAGTCATAGCCATTTCCAGGCTCCTTTCCCTAGAAGCAAGAAAGAATGGATACAACACAGACAGAACAAGTAGCAGTGTCATGAGTTCTTAGCACAGGTTCTGAATGAGAGGAGTACAAGGACCCTCTTTGGGAGCTCTTTAAAAGTGTTATACAATGCAAAATATTATTTACTAAGGATTTTAATGGTAGGGTAAATTCTAAGGATGTTGAGTTCTTAGTTGTACTCACTTCCTTTTCTCACTTTTATGTATGTGTACTTTATCTCCCTTTATACTAACCTAAATTATGCAAGATCCTCCCTCCCCTTTCAAATCCACAGCTGTCTCCCCTTCATCCTCAGCCCAACCAAACAGCCAGAAATATCTTGATCCCTGAGTCAGCGCAGTGAGGTGTCTAGAACACATAGTTGGCCAGTTTGTGGTGGAGCTGCTGGAGCAGTAGAGAGTAGTTGATGAAAGGGGTACTTGGTTTGGCAGCCTCTTTCTGGGATTTTAGCTTAGAGCAATTGCTCAACTCACTCCCTGTACATACCTGGCTCAGAGATGGTTGTCTGCTTTAAACTAGGCGTGATCTAAAGGCCAAAATGAGGAGCTACTTCATGCTATCCCATGTGGTGAAGCCTGGGGTCTTGGGAATAAGCCTGAATGAATTCTCCTCACCCTACTCCCAGGGAAAGCATTTTCTAGACCAGAAAGAAGAATCACAGGGGACATTTTGGGTAATACTAGAGTTTGAATAGGCTCATTCTTATGTTTTCTGATGGATTAATCAGGGGGTCCTTTACCTGGAGTCCATCAATTTAAAAAAATGTTTTTTTGATAACTGTATTTCAATGTAATTGAATTTTCTGTAGTCCTATGTATTTTATTTTATGTGTTTAAACATGTATAAATTGTATTTATACACATTATATACACATGTAATTATATTTATATACATATATATGTATTTAAAATATGTGTAATGTATAAAAACATAATTCTGTGAAGGGATCCATAGGCTTTATTAGACTGCTGAAAGGATCAATTACACACAAAAAAGATTAAGAACCCCTTCAATTAGATGTTCTGCTGATACAGGTTATGGCAGATTATTTTTGGCTACTGAATGCCAACAGGTTTGTTGGGAATACACAGAGTTCTGTCCATGCTACATTTCCACTCTTCCCAATCTTCCCAGCTACTAGTTGATGGACCACAGGTACATGTGTACATATGAAGTATACACAAAGCATAGAAAATTAACAGAAAATAATAACATTAAAATGATGATATCATTTAGATAGCGCCTTAAGGTTTGCAAAGTTTACAAATGTTATTTCATTTTATCCTCACAATGACTCTTCATTATGAAGTTATATATACTTTATATGTGTTCATGTTGTCTCTTCCACAGAATGGATGCTCCTTCAGGAAAGAAATTGTTTCATTTCTGTCTTTGTCTACCCAATACCCAGTACAGTGCCAGCACCCACTTCTTGTTGTTTAGTCAATTCAGTCATGCCCAACTCTGTGATCCCATTTGGGGTTTCTTGGCAAAGCACTGGAGTGGTTTTCCACTGACACTCTATAACCTTCACCACTTGGCTGCCTGTAGCACTTATTAAATGCTTGTTGAATTGAATTGAATTCTCCAAACTCTCTGACAAAGGTATACATCTAGCTTTTCTTAGACTTTTCTAGGAGTCCTGTTTCCTACACTGGGCACTGACTTACGATATCTCTTTTTGGATTGCAGAGAATAATTCAGGTCATTAAAGTGAATATTTGATGGAGAACCTACAGTGCTAAGGTCTCACATGAGCTGTTAAAGTTGCAAGGTCAGAACCTGAAAACAGAAGGTCTGTTTTGGGTCCAGATTTTGGGTGCAGAGCTCTTTCTAATGCCCTGAATTTGTTCCCATACTGTGGTTGGTGCTATGCTAGGTTTTATGGTGGAAACTAAGAGGAGGAGGGAAAGAAACAAGCATTTATTGAGCTCCTACTATGTGCTCAGCATTACGTCAAGCACATTAACCTTGGGAGGTAGTAGAAGGAGCTATTATTCTCATTTTACAGTGGAAGAAACTGAGGCAGACAGGGCTTAAGTGGCCTGCCCAGGGACACACAGCTAGTAAGTGTCTAAGGCCACGTTTAAACCCAGGTCTTCCTAACTCCAGTTCTTTGTGTCATCTAGGTCTTGGCTCTTAGGGAACTCCCAAAACGTGAAACAGATGATTATTAAATACTGGATTGTACTGGAATATCTTGGCAAGTCTCACTGACCTGATTCTTCTCCAAGTCATCCCACTCTCTGCTAGAAAGATTTGTTAAGCTCAGAATCTTGGATTCAAATGCTATACATTTATAGTTGAGATGGGGTCATTTGGGGGTGCTTATATACTAGACTTTAGTGTCTTTTGAGTAAAAGTAAAGTTTGGAGGGAGAGAGAGGGAGTGATAGTGGGGCTGGGGAGTTGGAAAGGGCAACTTGGTGTACTAAGTTGTCTTGGAATTTTTAGCTTGGCTTCCTATCAGCCCTCAGCTGTTCTGTTGGGTGTGTGGAATTTTGGGAAAAGAAAGCCAACTATTTTAGTAATTCACCTCCTTTATGGTTCAGTTTACAGTAAATCTGTTAACTACCTTTGAAAAGTTTGTAGGAAGACATGGTGGGGGGAAACAGGGTTGGAGATTGGGGTAGCACCAGATAACCTTCTCTGTTAGAGACCTATTTTGCAATGAATAAACAGTAAAGGGGCCTTGTTTGACATTTCTGCCAAGGGAAGGGAGTGGTAATGGTGTGGGGATGAGGAGACTAAACTGAAACTTATCACACTGAATTTGTTGCTACAATCTTTTTTTGAGAATCTTGCTCCCAAGTCACATCTCTAAGAAAATCGTGAGCAGTAATGTGAATGTTGTTGTCACTATGTCCTGTTCCTATGACCCCCTAGGTTCTTTTCTGCCCTGGTCTACTCGCACATGCATGGTCATGACATCACCTTTCTGATGTCATGATTCTCTTTGAGAATGAAGGATAAACAACACCAACATAATGTATTTTCTGGATTGTAGGAAATGCCATTTTAAACTTCACCTTAATTTTCATCTGTCTACCTATTTAATTTGTGAAAAGCTACTTAGACATTTGATTTAGCCATTCTAGGTATTAGCCCTCTCACCTCCCACAATAAGACCATTTCTGTTCTTCCCCCAACACCATTCAATCTCAGTTTCTGGTCCTTTCTCCCTCTAAAATTAATCTTGAATTAATTTTGTGTTTACTTAACTGTGTAACTGTTGGACACTCACCCCTACCACCAGTAGATTGTCCTTGAGGGCAGGAACTATTGCTGCCTGGTACATAATTTGTCATTAACAACTATTTCTTGAGTTGAATTAAATTGAACTGAATTTCCACCAGCAAAGGAAATAGTAGCCAACCTACTCCCTGAGGAGTGTTGTGGAAATACCAATGTATCTTACCTTAAGCAAACCTGAAATAAGAACAAATAAATGCACACAATTAATAATTGAATGGTAATTACTTGTTTTATAAAGGGATTAATCAGAAGATTCTTTTAAGTGGTGTAGTTGTTAGTGGAATGGGCCTGGAATAGGGAAGACCAATTTCAAACCCGTCCTGAGAAACTTACATAACTGTGTGACCCTAGGCAACTCACTTAACTCTGTTTGTCTCAGTTTCCTCAACTGTAAATTGGGGATAATAAGTCTGACACACAGTAGGTACTTAATAAAAGCTTAGTTCCTTCTTGGAACATTTAAAACAGGGTTCAACTTATTCATTTAAATTTTTTTCACAGAGCCTTTCTAGAGCACATCTATTGTATAAAATAAGATATACCTATAATGGCAAATCTACCAGGGCTCTTTTTGTAGTCTTCTATTGACAATTCTCATCCATTTCATACCAGGAGGGTTTGTCATGACCTTGTAGATAGGAAAAAATTACTTCCTTGTTTTTACTCATCTGTAACTGAAATCAAACATTTCCTTTGATCGTTTAAAACCATTATTCTGAGAAGAGTTCATAGGTTTCACCAGACTGCCAAAGAGATCCATGGCATAAAAACGATTAAGAACTTGTAATCTAGTCCAACCTTGTCATTTATAAAAGATGAGACGGAGGCCCAAAAATGTCTCAGAAGTAACTAGCTATAGCAAACATTAGAGTCAGAAGTCAATCCCAGATTCAGTGATAACAGGTTATTTAAACTCCCCGGTCCTTAGCTTCCTCATCTATGAAAATGGATAGAAGGAGGCACCTTCTAGCCCAAAGTCAGCAAGCTTTCCACTGCACTGTGCTGGTTGTGAAATGCTTTAGGTTATCTTAATTATCTTTCTTCCTAACTTTCCGTATTTTTTCTGTCTTTTCTTATTTTCTCTCTGCAGAAAGCCTATGAACAAAGACCTCATTCATCCAAACAGGTAAGATTTTTTTTTTCCATCATCACATCGCCAGGATTTCTACAGTTGGGTGGTTGAAAATTCAGGAATAGTCACTCCTTGTAACTGGTCAACAGGGGAGAATTAAAGGGCAAAGTGTTGGGTAGAGACCACAGACACCATAGATGTTCAGAAAAGGAAGCCATTACTGTGCACTGGGGTGGTTAGGGAAGCCTTCACTCATGGGGTGAAGCTTGAGCTGGATCTCCTGGAGCTATTGACCCATTGGGTCCTTGCCTTTCTCATCCTTGAGAGGAGACATAGAAAATTTTCTTTTGCCTTCTCCCATCTCACCTCCCGACCTGTTGAGTTTCTGTGATACTTAGAACTCAATGCAAGAGCAGGGAGGCTGCTCTAAGCTCACCAGGGCCATGCTTCTGGTAAAGGGACCCATTTTCAGGAGCTCAAAAAAGTGCTTGGGCAGGGTACTCACCAGGTAGTCCATTCAAAGTTTCCTGTCTGTGTAACTACTATGGGGGCTTAGTTGACAACTAATTTCACTGCAGAGTGCCAATTGGATGTATTTTAGCTGGTTAAGGGCAGAAGAGAGGCAAAATAGAAGAGTGGAAAGTGCCCTGGATTTAGACAAGAAGTTGTGGTGGTTCAGTTGCGTCTGACTCTTTGTGACCCCATGTGGGGTTTTCTTGGCAGAGATACTGAAGTGGTTTGCCATTTCCTTCACTAGCTCATTTGACAGATGAGGAACAGAGGCAAACAGGATTAGGTGACTTGCCCAGAATTACACAGCTAGTAAGTGTCTAAGGTTAATTTGAACTCAAGAAGATGAGTATTCCTGATTTCCAGCCTTTTAGGTAGGAAGATGTAGATTCAAATCTTGCCTCAGATACTTACTAGCTATGTGATCCTGGGCAAGTGACTTAGCCTCTCCACAAAGTATGGGGGATGGATCCGATGGCCTCTTAGATCCCTATCACATATAAATCTATGATTCAATTAGCATTGAAGAGATTATTTGCTGGGGCCCTTTCAGCAGCCCCTTCCTTACTTGTCCTTTCAGGAAAGGGAAGGAGGAATCAGTAAGGACCTGACATTTTGCCTACTGGTGGGCGGTTAGGTGGCATAGTGGACATAATGCTTGGCCTGGAGTAAGGAAGACTCCTCTTCCTGAGTTCAAATCTGGCCTCAGACACTTACTAGCTATGTGATCCTGGGCAAGTCACTTAACCTTGTTTGCCTCAGTTTCCACATTCATAAAATGAGCTGGAGAAGGAAATGGCAAACCACTCCAGTATCTTTGCTAAGAAAACCCCAAATGGGGTCGTGAAGAGTCGGACATGACTGAAAAAATTAATCGTACAGTGATGGGCCTCCACTAGTTCCAATCCAGTTGCATTGGTGTTCACTTGGGCATTCATAGGCCTGCTTGTTCTTTTGACAATGATAATAATAGTTCACAATCATCTAGAGCTTTAACTCTAAGATTTGCAAAGTCCTTTCTTTTCCACAGCTTTGTGAGGTAGACAGTGCAAGTCCATTTTACATTTAGGAAAACTGAACTCTCTTACCTGAGGGAAGTCAAGTGAGTTGTCCAAGATTATATAATTAGAGAGGCATTGTGGCATGGTGAAAAGAGCATTGGCTCTGGTGTCAAAGGACCTGGGTTCAAATCCTTTTTTTTTTTGACGTTTACAACCTTGTATAAGTCAAAGTTGTGGATAAAGCCTCACTTTCTTCATCTCTGAAAGGAGGGGGTTGGAGTCAATGGCCTAGGGTTCTTTTCAGCTCTAAAGCTATGATCCTGATTCTTTGGGTCCCTCCTATTATCCTTATCTCATATCTCTGAAATCATAAGTAATCCCGGAGCCCCCAGGGCTCCCCAAGTAACTTTCCTGGGTCTAGGGACAAACCCAAGAGACGTTCCAGTTAGGATTCAGCCCTCACTCTACCTGTCTTCCCCTCACCCCTTTATCAAAGATCTGTGAGAGAGATTGGTTCCAGTCTTCTTTTGGGGATATTCTCATAGGGAGGAAGATGGGCTGAGAGTCAGAAGACATGGGCCTCTAATCCTAGCTCTGCTTCTAACTGACCTTGGGAAGGTCTCTGGCAAATGAGAGAACTGACAGCCCCTTTCTACTAGATACTATCTTCTTATTGGTCTTCAGGAACACCACACTGTTCTAGGTTATCTCATAGCTCCTTCTCTGTCTCCTTTGCTAACCAATGATACTCCTCTAGACACGTTAGCTCCAGGGTCCTCAGTTTCCTTATCTGTCAAATGACATATTCCAGGAATGTCATAAGGTTTAAATGAGATAATTAATTGAAAACTTTTTTACTTTCTAAAATATTTAAAATTTTGAATAAATGTAATGGGCTATTATCATTCAGTTTTTGTGTGCCCCAAAAGATTGGAGTTGGGGGTGGGGTGGGGTGAAGAAGGATTTTGGAACTGATCTGTTTATCAACTGAATGTTCAGTAAGGAGGGGAGAAGGGGAGAAGGAAGGGAAAAGGAGGGAATGACCAAGAAGCCCCTGGGATACATTACTGACAGAGTGGACACCTTAACAGGAGTGGGGAACCTGCGTTCTTGAAGTCACATGTGGCCCTCTAGGTCCTCAAGTGTGGCCCTTTGACTTCAGAAGTTTGGATTCAGTCAAAGGGCTTCACTTGAGGACTTAGAGGGCCATATGTGGCCTCGAGGCCACAGGTTCCCCACCTCTGCTAGCATATAAAAGCCTGCAGCATTATGTCACAGCAAAGGGAACAGAGAAATCACTCACTTCTACATAGGACTCTAAGGTTTACAAAGCAGTTTTTTCACAGAACCCTTGTTGGGGGTAGATAGAGCTACTCATCATTTCCATTTTACAGCTAAGTAAACAATCTCTACCCACTCAAACTCTTACAGAAAAAAAATGGCAGATTCAGAGCAATAGAGAATGGTTCGGTTCAAGTTCAGTTTGAAGAACATTTTAATATTCCTGGTTTTTTTCTGACTCAACAGATTTTTAAAAAAATACACAGATATGACTCTTGCTTGAAGGAGTTTACTAGGTGTTTTTTTTTTCAAATTAATTTTGGTTTAGTTCACATTTGTATTTTAAAAATTAGGTTCATTTCAGGTTTCAGTAGATTTACTGTGGTTCATTATGGTTTGGGCTTCCTGATCTGGTTTGGTTTAAGTGACCCTGTTTATTGTCATGGCTCATTACACAGCAACCAAATGGCCTCTTCCCCCTGGAAAAGCTAGTCTTTTGAGAGCCAGTCAGTTGAGACTGATGGCTCTTGGAGAGTCAGAGACTATGTTCTCCTTCTTTTGTTTTCCCTACAGTGCCTAGTCTGAGCCTGGGTACACAGTGGGCATTCAGTAATAACTTGGTAAGTGAATAGACAAATGAGTAGATGGATGGATTGATGGAGCTATGCTGGCTGAATGCAGAGCTGGGACACCTAGGTTGCAGTACATGATCATGATGGAGGCTTGATTTTTGTATGCTCCACTTTAGCCTGTATTTGAGACTATTACTGTTAGTTGGACATCATTATTGTTGGGTGCTTCATCCAGGGCTCAATGGTAAAGCTATAAATTTAAGAATCATAAGACAACAGATTATCCTCCATATGACACAAATAGCTAAGTGGTATAGTGGTTAGAGCACAGGACCTGGAGTTAGGAGGATTTGAACTCAAATACTGCCTTAGACATTAACTAGTTGAGTGACCCGTCCACCTCAGTTTCCTCTTCTGTAAAATGGAGGCAATAATAGAAAAACCTACCCTTTAATGTTTATTGTGAGGATCTAATATTTGTAAAGCATGTTGCAAATCTTAAAGTGTTATAAAATGCTATCTATCATTGTTAAAGACTGCTAAAAACATTTTCATTTGCTAAAACCCTTCTGCAGAGAAGGATTTTAATAGGTCTGGTTCCTATTTAAAAAGGTTCACCAAGTGTTTTAAGAAATCAGCTTCAGTTCATGTTTCAGCAATGCAATATTTGGGTTCTGGTCAGCGGGATTCAGCAATTTTAAGTTCAACTCAGGTATTACCTCCTGATAAAGTCTGCCCTCATTTCCTCAGCTAAAGAGTGGTTTCTTCCTCCTTAGACTTTTACTGTATTTTTGTCTAGAACTCTCTTTTACCCATGCTATACTGGAAGGAACACTGGGCTTGGAGTTAAGAGACCTAAGTTAGGACTCACTTTCTTACACTTAAAAGTTATTTGACCATGGACTAATTATATGATCTCTGAGCTATAGTTTCCTCAGGTATGAAAGAAAGGGATAATGATAGTTTCCTTCCCTTTTATCTAAGGTTGTTACGAAGGAAGCATTTTATAAACCCCTAAATTCCATACAAATCTAGAGAGGTGACATACTGTATAAAATGCTGGATTTAGATTTAGGATAGACCTGAGTTCAAATCCTGCTTCAGATACTTACTAGTGAGTGACCCTCAGCAAGTCACTCAATCACTGTCTACCTCAGTTTTCCTCATCTGTCAAGGGGAATAATAGTAGCATCACCCTCTCAGGGTTCTTGTGAGGACCAAATGAGATAATATGAGTAAAATGCTTTGTAAATATTAAGGCGCTATATGTGTCAGCTATTATTAAGTATCAGTTGTTCTATCTTGTATCATTTTTATTTGTATATATGTTCTATTCCCTACTACCCTCCTGAGATTATAAGGTCTTTGAGGGTAGGGAATAGGTAGTGCTTTGCACATAGATGATCAATAAATGTTTCTTGTTGCTTTTTAAAAGGCTACTCATTTTTGAAATCGAGATGGAAAAAAATATTTGTGTTTAATTCCATTCAGCAAGATTTACTGACACAGTGAATGAACACTAAAATGAGGGGAATAGACTGTATGTGTTGTTGTAATTCGGAGAAAGGAAGAAACTATGAGTTTCATGGGCTAGAGAAGTCAGATTAAACTTCATGAGGAATGAGGAACTTGATCTGGACCCTGGGCTGGACTCTAAGTTTTGGGTAGGACTTGGATAGATAGATGGTGA